TGATGTTCCTGTGTGGAGTCCCGGGAATACAGAGGATGGGGACATCTCTCTGGGGTATTTCTGTTCCTGGATCCATCTGTAGGAAACACACACACTGACTGAATACATTGTTTCTATGTCTTTATATCAGAGGATGTGTGTATCTAGGGGGATCCTCAATACTCAGGAAATGAAAGTCTCCTCTTACCCGGTGATGTGAGGGGCGGCCGGTTCTCCATCATGACGTCCTTGTAGAGATCCCGGTGTCCTTCTAGATACTCCCACTCCTCCATGGAGAAATAGACAGAGACATCCTGACACCTTATAGGAACCTGACACACACAATGATACAGTCACCACCCAGACACATCCCTTGTCTGTTCCTGGATCATGTCCCAGAATTCCCGGCACCGCTCACCTCTCCCGCCAGCAGCTCAATCATCTTCTGGGTGACTTCTAGAATCTTCTTGTCACTATTTATCTCAGACATTTGGAAAGGAGTTGGAGACTCCTTCATGGGGCTCTGTTTCCTGCTCCAACATTGTGGCACGCGTGTCATGTGATCGTCTGATGGCTTCTTCACTATAATACATTCCTGGGTTTTAAGAGAAAAATAAATATCACTACATAGAGAAAATGATCCACAAATCACTGCAAATCCTTCACTTCCCTCTTCAGGTCTGCAAAATAGTGATAAGTGATGTCATGTGACATCCCAGAATCCTCCTCACCTCTCCGGTCAGCAGGTAGATGATCTCCAGGGTGAGGTTTAATATCCTCTCAGTCATGTGACCGCGCTCCGTCTCCATCATCAATCACTTGATCTGTTTTGAGGTGTAGATAGAAAGAGAACCTGTCATTGCTGGGGGAACACACACCTCAGAGTAGAGCTCCCAGTCGTCAGCCTGACCCCCCACAATAGGGAATGTGGCTTTCCTCAGGCCTGGTATGGGGCTGGGAACAAAGGGGAGCCGGGCAGGAAGAAGAGGAACCTTCATTTCCCTTTCTGGCAGTGTGAGGGAACCATGAATACCCCAATCATACACGGAGGAAAGGACCAGCCTGCATACCGGGGCCTATAGGAGGTGAGGACACACAGCTCAGTGTCACCTGACTGCTGGGAGACGAAGGAAGGAAGGAGATCGCTGTCCATGTCACTTCTGTCTTTCAGGTGCGTCCCATGAGAGGCAGCGGAGGTCATGGCACCTCAGGTCACCCCCAGAGGAGTCATCTACATATCTCTCCATGGCCATCCCCGTCCCATTCTTTATAACACGCTCCTACATCTGTGAGCACCATGGAGAGGATCCAGGACCTGTGTCCCAGTATTTAGAAGAGGGGCGGGATCGGGGGGTGCACATCCTGTGATGGGCTCATTGTATCCCCGAGAAATCCTCTGCTGCTCTTCACTAAGAACAGGAGACCACCTGACCCAATCCGGGGGTCTTCCTAATAATGGGGAGCAGCGGAGTCACCTCACACTTGGCCGGCTCTGTATATTATCACAGGAACTGATTTCACTGGGCGCCTACTGAGAGGGGCGGAGCTGGTTGGTGGACGGTCTCATATTTTCTCCCCAGGCTGTCATGTTCTCTTCAGTTTTACCTTTCAGAAACAAAAAGTGGAACGACCTTTCACCTCATTATTGTGCTGGCCGCCCTGAACCACGGAGAACCCCACTGTGAGGTAAATGAGACCCCATACAGCCCTCCTGATACCCCACTTAGCCACTTGAGACCTCACCCAGACTTTTGGCACCCAGCATAGCCTCCTGACACCCCGCACAGCATCCTGACACCCCACACAACCACAGCCCTCCTGAGACCCCCACATAACCAAATGAGACCCCACACAGCATCCTGAGGCAGCACAGAGTATGTTGCTTCATATTATTCTGCATTGCTGTATAATGTATTGCTGGGATTTGTAGTCCCTCTTAAGCTTGGAGTCAGTGGCAGAACTACCAGGGGCGAGCACTTGCAGCTGGGACAGGGCCCTGGGACTTCTCCGCTGTCCTATATTCATTAGTCTGTATTGTTTTGGGAAAGACTGTCACATGACACTAAACAAAAAGAAATATTTGTAATGGGTATCGGCAAGTACTTGAGGAAAAGTATCATTTCTCGTGCTCGGTGGATCTCTAGTGTCTGTTATCAGCCAAGAGGGAAAACCCGGGAACCTCTCACCACAGAGCCCAACTTCAAATGAAACCATCCCACCTGTGTGCTTTATACTGGACATGTGACCTGACTGAAGTCACATGACCTCCCCTTCCCCCAATTTCAGTCCACAGAGAGTGCTGGGACCCCCTTCTCTCATAATAAGAAGACATTCTTACCTCCTCCTCACTCCTCACACGTTCTTCAGCTGGAATCTTTTCCTTTCTGGGCTACAACAAAATGGCCGACCCTCCTGCACTAAGGGAACTTCCTTCTCTCACACAGCAGACAGTCGCCCTCTAGTGGTGGCTCTGGTTCTCCACAGGAAGAAAGCTAGTCGGCCTGTGGCGGGATGTGTGTCACTATGGTAACCAGAAAGCCGCTCGGAGGCCATAACACATAAGAGGGTTATTCACTAATGAGCCGAAGGATCCAGTCATAGCTTCGGCCGCCTTCAGGCGACTGAGCCGAAGGGATGCTATACGGGTTATTCACAATATCCTGCACAGCAGCTGGAGGCAGCCGCTGCATGGCTGATTTTAACCGATGTATGGCTGAAATCAGCCGTACAAGGCACAAGTGGATAGCCGAACAACTTGCGGCTCACTTCGGCTCGGTTATTCACTTGGCTGCCTTCGCTGCAGTATATATACACTGAGTGGCCAGATTATTATGACCACCCCATCAGTACTTCGTTGGGCCGCCTGGTGACTCCACGAGATGGTGAAAGGTGATGCGAGGAATCTGACACGGCACTGTTGCCCTTCTGTTGTCTTGTACCAGTCTTGCCACTCTCCGTTCTGCCCTAACATTGACTAGTCGCTGACGGCCACAATTCGCACGTTCAGACCCAGATTTTCGGCTGACAGTCCGGTTTTTAAACACTTTAACAATGAGCTGCTCTTGAACATTTAACGAATTCTGCTGTTTTGCTGATACTCGCTCCATGGCTCCGAGCGCCAACAATCATCCCACGTTCAAAGGCTGTTAAATCGGGTTGTTTCCCCGTATCTTCAGAAACAAATCACTTCTACTGTCGTGGTAAACAACCTGCTTCCCTATTTATTATGGTCTGGCCCTCTAGCAACTTCAGCACCAAATTATAGCTAATTTGCCTACAAACGTCAGGTGGTCATAATAAACTGGCCACTCAGTGTAGATACACTATATCGCCAAAAG